TGTGGAAACTCCAAGTTTATTTCTCATCTCTGCAATGAGACTGGCTTTTAGGGGTGTTTTTTTGCACATAGTTGAGCCCTCTTTACAGAGGGACAGAGGTGGACAAAGTAGCTCTTTCGGTCTCTAGGTGATTCCGTAAGTGCTTGCAGAGAGCGCTTCAGTAGATTAAACTCCCGTGAGGGCCACCCTGCACTGCTGCCTGAGCTGCCCACGTCTCAATGGGGCCACAAAAGCCCCACGGGTGGCTCTCCGTCAGGGCACAGGGCCTCCTGAGAACACCGAGTTGGTTTTTATTTGTCTAGTAGAGGCCCGATGCACGAAACTCATGCAAGAGTAGGCCTTCCTTCCCCCAGCTGCCTGCACCGGCTTCCCTCTGGCACCTGGGACCTGGGCTTCCCTCTGGCCGCTGGCAGGCACCCAGGACTTGGGCTTCCCTCGCAGCCCAGGCTTTATCCGGAAGGTCGTCCGGTCTAATTAGCATATTATGCTTTTATTATTATTATAGATTTTGGTTACAGGCCCTCTTTCCTGTACTCAAAATCTCCTTGGCCTCAAGGCTACTTCTTACTCAATATTCTGCTTTCCTAGATCTTTGCTTTGAATACAGCCCATCATGGCCTCTTGGAGTCCTGACCATTCAGAGTGTCTGCTGCTAAGAGACTCTGTTTCTTGGCATTTCCTACAGAGAACCCAGTTGACCTCCCACACGCGGAGCTGCGGTTTTTGTGGCTGCTCAGCCGATGGATGTGCGTAGCTCTTGGGTCGGGTGTCTCTCTTGTCCATGCAGCTTAGGCCAGAGGCTGAGCACAGAGCGTAACACGTGGTCTCTGGAACGGGCTGAACATCGGACAGGCATTGTGAATGCTGGGAGCAGCACAGAGTGGGAGGGGCAGGTGGTCTGGGGAGTTTGTGTCCATACCACGTCATCCCTGGGAGCCACTAACCTGGATGGGACTTCTTTCTGTTCTGAGAAAGGCATGTGAGCCGGCATTGGCTTTTTGGCCCCATGCACACAGCCATGGATAGGCTGCTTCTCTGGGACCTGTGGATGGCCCATCGGCTCATGCCTCAGTCTAGGCCAGCCTCTGAGACCACACAGGGTCTGCCACGCCTGCAAGTGTACTTTATCAGCACCCAGCAGACCCTGCTGGGTTGTGAAGCGGGTTCCATCTCACCATCTGGCCGAGGCAGAATGAGAAGCAGGCGGGTTTTGGGGTAGGAAAGCCTTTGCCATTTTATTTCACAATAAAAAATTCTGACAGCATAAAAACACTCTGTTCCCGACAGTGGCCAAGGATGTACAAAATTAATTAGAAAGCAAAGCCATAAATGACAACAGCTACCGCCAGAGCGCCTGTTCAGTGCCTGTGTTTGCACCATGTGTCTCGGGGGGTTGGTAAGGAATCGCAGTCTGGGTTACATACCCTTCAAATCATTGAACAACAATAGGAGCAGCAAAATACAGCTCCAGGGGAGGCTGGCTTTGGTGGGCACTTCCATACTTAGGAAAAAGTCTTTGTGGTTTTTTTTAATGTTATAGAATATAAAAATGTTATAGAACATGTGACAAATTAGTTCTGTGAATAGAAGGTGCTAACATACTTTGCTTGATAAAACTAAATTAGGAAGCTAATACTTTAGTAAGAATACACTGTTCAAAGCATTTTCACATATATTAGGCCACGCGTTCCTCACAAACACCACGGGAGGTAGGAAGTGCTGATGCTGTTATACCCATTTCACAGGTAAGGAAACAGAGGCTGGTTTATAGTGAGCTGACCTAGGCCTTGACCATTTATTACACCTTTTTCAAAATCCCCAGACAATGATACTCCTCTACTGTTTGCTATAAACCTCCTCTCATTTTGTGTGTGGTTTGAGGGTGAGTTTAGATGCCGAGGGTAAAGCCAACAGCCGTTAGCATATTAATGCAGAAAGAATCATTGGACTTTGATATCCAGCAGGGCTGAAAATCAACATAATCTTGCCCTGCTGTGGGTTCAGTGGCTCAAGGCAATTCCCTAACCTGATAATCCTTTTACTGTTTATCAAACGTTACCTTTGATAAGCCTGTATGCATTGCTAAAGGGCAAATGTGTATTCGAGTAAATAAATAGCAGACCAGGATAGAAGTTGGTGCGTCTCTTCAAGAAAGAGGCTCCCCCTGGCCTCTAATGCCTTCTAAATTCGTATTTCTTGTATCGCATTTTCATTTGTGCATCGGCCCCTCCTTCAGATCCTGAACCGGCTGCGAAGGTCATGGCATTTAGACATCAGGCACAGATGAAGGAACATAAAGTGAGGCCACGGTCTGGCCAAGCGCAGAGAACGAAAATAATTCGTTTCTAGATTTCATTATATAATGGCCTTCACGGAAGTGTGGGTTTGACCTATGGAGACAAATTCTGCCATTTCCGAATTTCCCCCTTGTTTTGAAACCTGCATCATCAAAGCAACTTAATATCTTCTAAAAGAATTTGCTTCCAGCACTATTCTATTTTGTAAATATTCCTTTCCAAAATGTTAGCACTTAACATGGGCTAGGACTCTGGAACTGTTCACCTTAAGAAATCAAGAGACCTATCAATTCTTGGGAACACTCATTTATTACATTTAGAAGGGCAGAGCCACAAGAATATCAATCTCCCTTGAAGCCAATTTTGTTTCAAAAGACACTGCCGAGAGGCTCACAGTTTTCTCATTCCTGTAAGTGTGCAGCCGTGAGCCACGTTAACAGCACCTGAGCTGAGATGATGCCTTTTGATTTGCAAGTATTTGTTGTCTGCTGAGCAAAGCAGTGTGCTCACTGGGCCTTGATCAGAAATCACTTCTGAGGCCCAGCAGCAGTATCAACAGCACTGGTGGTGAGTGGGAAGTGGTTGGGGCGGGTCCAGCCAGTCCGCTCATGCATTCTCACTGATGTGCACATCAAGGATGCCTTCTCCTCTCTGTGGCAATATCTGTAGTGACCGCTCACCTGCTGGCTGGCATCCTAGGACCTCTGGTCAATTCCAGTTGGTAGCAGGTTCCTTTTGAAGGTCCTGTCCACTCATGCTCCCTCCTTTGGGTACTAACCCCCGACAAAAGCCCTCATTGAGAGGGCTGGCCCAGGGAACCATGCTCATATTACATGACCTTGCCTCCTTGTTGTAGCTGGTTGGATAGATACCTGACTCAAGGAAAGTCCAAACTACTTTCTGGTGTGTGGCTGAAGGAATGGATTAAATTTAACTTCTGTTCTCACATTTGAAGATAATATCTGTTATTTTATTTATTAAACACTGAATACCTGTGTGTTGTGTAGGGGGAAAAAAAGCTTATTTATCTGTAATCAATATTTAAATCTTTGATCCATTTCCCAAATTTCTGCCTGCTAGAGAAGCATTTCCTTTAGTCAGGTGTTTAAATCCCTCTCCCCCTCCATCTGCCACTTTCAGGAGTTGTTGTTTTTTAATCACAAATCTAACGATATTCTATCCATTCTTCCATCAAGATTGCTCAGAAATTACATGTCCTTCTGTTGAATTCCTAAATTAACAAATGTACCATATAATTTGTCTTGGGTCCAGAGAATTGAGTCTTACATAATCCAGTCTGATTTGCTCCACTCGGGCTGCCATAACTAAGTACCATGGACTGGGTGGCTTACAGACAACAGACATGTACTTCTCACAGTTCTGGAGGCTGGGAGTTCAGAAAAGGGTGCCAGCATGGTAGGGTTTTGTGAGAGACTCTGCTGGGTTGCAGACTGCCAACTGATTATTTTAGCCTCACAGGCAGAAAAGAGGGCATCTCTTTTATAAGGGCACTAATCCCATTCATGTGGGCTCCACCCTCATGACCTAAGGACCTCCCAAGGCCCCGACTCCTAATACCATCACATTGGGGGGTTAGGATTTCAACATATGAATTGGGTGGGGAGAGGGCACAAACATTCAGTCCATAGCACACCATGGAAGAGGCAATTCCCGCTCCAGTAACACTGCCATCTCAGATCACAGGTACCAGGACACACAACGGACGTTTAGACATTTTCTTAAACCTCGGGTTGCCTCCCCAACACAGAGCACGGAATCTGCTGCCTCCCAGTGACAAGCTGCCATGGCCCCTCTGGCTGCCTGTTTGGGTCCATGGCATTGAGGGGAATACAGCCCTGGTCTTGAGCAGCAGTTGAAAACACTAGTTCCTTGGCAGCATTCTCTAGGAAAAGCCAAAATGCATTTCTTGTCAGACTGCAGGAAACTCACGTCAAAACGAGTTCCAAAAAAATGTTTATTATGCTACAAAGGCATTGTCCTCTTTACACTTTATCTGAAGTTCTTTACACATCCCATCATCTGTTTTTCCTTCACAGGAACATAGGGT